ACTCTGAATAAACCTAAAAAAAATCTCCTTCATCTGCCGCATATCGTTGGAGGTACAAACCATGCTAAAAAAAATGTAAACTCAACCTAATAGATTAAGGAGTTCTGTCTCCCCTAAAACTTTTCCTTTGATTGACCCAACCACCAACGCTCAGCCTCCCCATCTAATAAACAAATAGCCAACAATTCTTTCCTCTTAGAAGGATATTGCATCCCATCAAAACTCTTCTCCAACCTTATCAATCAATCTTGTACTGCTCTGGACTCAACAGTGCCCTCAAATATTGGAGGCTTCAACCTCATAAACATATCTAAGTGGCTCTCAACATCATCATATCTGATAGAGGAAATCCTGCTCTAAGCCTCATTTATTAGTTGAGCTACCAAATTGGCAAACTATGAAATAGAATCAATGAAAAATGAGTAAAAAATTTTTAGTACAAGAAATTTTTATACAAAAAAAAAAAAAAATCACTTTAGAATTAAGTAAGAAAGGTGTCCCAAATGAAGCCAAAATCACCAACTTCTTACTAAGCATTAGAATACCTTGCTTAGAAGTTCTAACTTTCTTCTTGTAATTGATAGAAGGAAAATTGGGAGGAGTTGTAAGAAGGCAAAACGAGTTCTTTCATTTTTAAGATTGTCATGTTATAAAATCTTTAGATCCTCGCTCTAAGTTCACTTATTTCAAAGGCTAAATATTCTATTATCTTCACTTAATGCTTTGATTACTCTTCTAATCACCTCACTACTTCAATAAAGCTTAAACATCTCTGCGTTCTATGGAACACCCAAAAATTGGAAATAAAGCAATGATAATGCCTGCTACAACATCGCTATCTTCGTTGCCAATATTATTTATTTCTCTCACTCGTAAGCAAATCTGAAAGTGCCTTTCCCTAGAAAAGGATAATGTTAATAAACATCGGCTTTATTTTGGATTGTTTTCTCATTACTTTCTACAATAGCTTTCTAGTAAAAAAATTTCTTAAAAGTAATGAAAAAATAGTGGCCAAAAGATGTCCCAAATGAAGCCATTATCTTTAGGAAGCACATTTATCATATTTATCTCTAAAGCAAGGATTTGAGGCTTGTTCATCATGCTCCCTCGTCAGTCTCCTTCACTTACATGAAAAGGTCCCCTAAACCTCTACATTTCCTTAAACTCCATTAAATACTACAATCTACTTCATAGCATAAGTTCACATTCTGAGCTAATTGTCCACCATCATTTTCATCAATTTATCCCACTTAAAACTCATTCCCTAAAGTGACATTCTAAATAAGCCCCAATTAATCTATTTTAAATTATTTTTTGCATTCCTTCCACCTAACCCCTCTCAACCCCTCATATTTCTATAACAAACTCTAGAATACATCATAACAACTCATAATCATTTCCTTCCATTAATCTAAGCAAAAGGCTATGCTCCACCTCCAATAACATAAATATTTTTATCTATCATCAATTTTCATAAGCCATCAGATGCTAACATTAGCTTATTTTCATATACTTTATTTAACACATTCTCTAAATTTAGGAAATGACAATCTATTATTACTTATATCTACTACTAACATAAAAATTTTAAACTAAATTAAACATAAGAATTTTTTCCCTTTTTAATTATGAACATAAATAAATGAGTGTTCATATTTTCTTTAGTTTATTTCTATATTGCATGTTGGATATCATTTTGAAGCTATGGTGATTGCATTTTCTCATTTTGCCACTCAATGTTTCACTTTTTGCACAAAATAATTCTAGTATATATACATTTCAACTAATAAATGCTATTTGGTTTGGATTTATCCATGATTTACGTATAAATCCTGCCAAATATTGTTTCGATGAGGTTAAGGCTTCGTTGAGGGCAACCTTCTTTATGCTTTATAAAGCAGCGTTTTAGTGCACAAAGTTTTTGAAGTTGAAATTTTTGTACTAAAAAACTATTTTAAAAAGTTGTTAGAAAGCTATCCCAAATGAAACCTAAATCCAATGGTAGCTAAAATCTGGTTGCTCCCTCATTTTCACGATGAATCTATGATTTACTAAATCCATGAGTTTGATAGATTTATGAGATTTAGTTAACAAAAGCATGTGAAAGGGGGAGGTAGATCGAGAGTTATCTTTGACACTTCTTCACTTACAACTCTTACTTGCAGAGAGGTCAAAAAAAGCGAGGAGCTAAAGAAGAGGTAGATCTAATCTAACAATCGCTATGATGAGTAAGAAGCTTTTCAACATGTTTTGTTGCAAGTAGGAGGAAGTGTAGAAGATGTTGAAGATGAGGAGATATTGAAGAGGCAAATAAGCTTCTTTCACATGAGCAACTCTTTCAATTTTGTTCTGAGTCCTATTAGTGCTTCCATATCCAATCTATTGTAGTGTGGATTATGGATTGTATATTAATTGTTTAGTTTTTTTTTTTCATTATCATGTAGTTGATTGGTTAAGAATTTTAGATTATTTTATGAAAGCTCTTACTTAAATTATTAATTTTGTGATTAGTGAGTGAATGTCTGCATTATTATTTTGGATTAGTGATTCATCATTTTGCTTGTAAAAAAACTAAAATAACTATTAAGTGAAAATTAACTTAGCTATTAATATAGCTTCTCTCCATTAGTGAATCATTAATAAAAACAATCAACTAAAAAATAATAATTATGATCAAAAGCATTGAAATTATATATTTTAATTTTATTATCAATAAAATTATTAAAATCTTATTTGAACTAACATACTTAAATTCTTGATACATTTTTAAAAAAATTGCTTATTCGACACAAATCTCAAGGTAATATTTGACTTGTAAACTTCTAAAATTAACTCCATGACTGACTGAACCCTGATTTCAGCAAACTTATAATCAAATTGAAGGCCTCGACGAGACCAAGAAATCGACATCATAGATGATCTAATTTGACTCCAAATGAGCTTCAATCATACACGTGAAAAATATTTAAAAACATCTAAATATTAATTGAAGAACAAAACAAGCCCTATTTTTTGCATGCATATAGTCGAATCAAGCAGTTCGACAAGACAAATTTAACAAGACCGAGATCATTTGATTCTTACATCATTAGTGCAGACAAAATATGATAAATAATTTACATTTAAGGAAATCAATATGAGTCATATGATAAAATATTTTATATTATATACAAATTTATCAAAATGCCCCCTTAAAAAGGCTATAAATAAGACTTTGTTCTCTATATAAAAGGGGATATTCAAGACCTAATAAAAATAAAGAATTCTCTTGCAATTTTTGTCGATTGTTGTCAGCAATCACCACCATCATTATTAAACTTTCATCATCAAACTATTGTCATTTGATTATTAACATATAACATTGTCATTGTATTTTAATTTTTCGTTTTTAGACAACTTATTATGTAATAAAACTTAGCTGTTTATAATTCCATTTTCTTCAATTACGAGGAAGACAATATCATTGTATCTTTTTTATATAATGGATTATTACAACTAAGACATCGCTTGAAATAGGTTTATTGCTATTTTCTAGTGCATAAATTTCTTTAAAACAATAAAAAATAGTGGTCTAAGGCTTTGTTTGGGTTAGGTTTCTTACTGCTTTATAAATCAATTTTTTAGCTCAAAAATTTCTTGAACAAAAAATTTTGAACTAAAAAATTGCTTTAAAAAGCAATAAAAATTGTCCTGAACAAAGCCAAATTGCTTAATCTTTGTATAAAGCTAAAACTAATTCTAAAATAAATAACAAATAAGTTATCAGCAATTAATTAAGATTTCATTTGGGACAACTTTCTTATTACTTTCAAAAACAGCTTTCATGTACAAAAATTTATAGTTCAAGAAATTTTTGTAATAAAAAGTTACTTTCAAAACTAGTAAAAAAGTTGTCCTAAATGAAACATAAATTTATGTTTATCATGTCAAAGAATTTTAAAGATTTAACCAACTCAAAACTTATTAGGCTTCGATTGTGACAGCTTTCTTATTACTTTATAAAACTACTTTCTAGTAAAAAAAATTTCTGAACTAAATTTTTTTTTAATTAGGAAGCTGCTTTAGAAAGCAGTAATAAAGTTTTCTTAAATGAAATTTAATATTTTATTTGGGACTATTTTTTTACTGATTCTTAAAGCAATTTTCTAATATAAATTTTTTTATTAAAAAACTGTTTTTAAAAAGTAATAAAAAAAATCAAAACTTGTAAATCTAAATTTACAAAATCTAATTAAAAACCTACTCGAGTAATAATCTCTCAATAAAAACAGCTAAAAAAATTCGCAAGCTCCAAAGAACGTCTGGTCGGGGGCAAAATCCCACAAAAAAACTCGGTATTTTCTCGGTATTGCTAGATATTATTTGATAATAACGAGGAATACCGCTCTGTGAAGACCAATACCGAGTTATACCGAGCTATACCGAGTTGTACAGAGTTTTTCCTAGGAAAAACTCGGTACAATTTTTTATAACTCGGTATTGCTCGGTATAACTCGGTATTGAGTCTTCATGTGATGATATTCATCGTTATTATTTGATATTGCTCAGTATTTGTTCGATATTTCTCATTTTTTGACATGATTTGACCTACAACCGGACGAGGAGGTCATAATTGTTCAGTTCTTTGAGTATCGAATCGAGCTAAATCATATTCTTTTAAGCTGGAGAGTAGAGGTCTGGTAGCTCCAACTCTACTCGCTATCATCTCTATCCTCGGACAAGCACTGTTCCGCTGTCCTCCTGTGAATTCTTCCTTCTCTTCTCTTGCTTTCTCGCTTAATTTGAATCGCCGCGCATAATCGAAAGTTGAAGAAGAAGATAGAGAAACCAGGGGAGGGAGGAATTCCAAAGATTGCCTTAGATGTGTGAAACTAGCGCCTAGAGATCTTGTCGGATCCCATTTGGCCGATTCGGAGATCTGCGGGGCGGGTTCCCGGATCCTGACTAGAGGATGAACATCTTAAGGTTAGCTGGCGATATGACGCATCTGATTAGCGTCATCGTTCTCCTTCTCAAGATCCACACCATCAAGTCCTGTGCTGGTATGCGCTTTTGCCCACCCATTTTCTTCCAATGATAATATGTTGACTGTTGGTCGGGTTTCCGTGTGATGATATCTTTCTTGCGGTTGGGTTGCTTGGTATCGACTTTTCTGGATTTTCTTAGCATGTGCGGATTTTATCGAGAGAGCTAGTTGGCGATTTGGAAACAATCGATGCTAGTTCAGGGCCTTGTGGTCCTGAGAGGTTGGATCTGCAAGAAATCGTTTCATATTGCGTTGATACAAAGGCGGGGAAGATTTAATTGTGATGGAGAAATCAATGTAGAAACTAATAAGCTATTTTATCAAGTACCTGTACCATAAATCTGATTCCCCGTGAGAATAATGGTGATTGTTAGCTAGCTTTGTTCTTATTAAGAACATGTTTTGTAAATGTTGAATGCCGAGCATTAATTTAATAATTTACTAGAGGTATTTATGGACAATGCAATTGGGCTGCAGATTTTATGGATCTAAGTGTTGTGCGATAAAAAGGTTTTTGATGTTCGAGTTGAACGCAAGGAAAATGAGAATCTTTAAAGATGAATGTGTGAAAACATTTTTTAAAAAAATCAAGAAATGAATATATTAGAGTAAGTATTAAAATGACATTCATCAAAGATAAAAAAGTAGAAAATAGATTTAAATGGTTGGGACATAAATAATGAAAGATAGAAAATACAAATATTAGAAGAATGCTTAAAATCAGTGTGGTAAGATTAAAAAGGATAGGTCAAGTTCCCGAGCTTAATTATGAGTTTATTATGATGGGCATCGGAGAAGATATCTTTCTTATCCCTCGGTTGTTTTGCAAGTCTTCATTTTCATGAATGGACTTATCACTATCCTAATATCTTCTAGTTCAGAAAGGAATATTTCCCTCTTTCTTGAATTCATATTGCTCTTGCACTAATTTACACATTAGGTATATATTTCAAATTTGATTTAGGTTGCTCCATCATGAGTGGAGGCCACGAATTTAATCTTGAAATGATTTCTCTAGTAAGCGGGTTAAAGCTTCACACATCATCCTGTATTTAGACTTTGTAGTGGTGGAAGCCTTGTTCAGGGTGAGTTGATATATTGTCGGGGGCAATTTAAACTTGACCTAATATTCATTCTTGGCTCAACAGCTCCTTTGCAAGCTTGTACTCCACCTCATACACTAGTTTTTTGATGATCATAAACAACATTTTTCTAATACTTTGATCAGTTAAATGGAGGTATGCGCCAATACCAAAATGAATGAACTCTCAGTGAAGCCCCTGAAAGAAAATTCTTTTGGACAAGTCGTATGTGTTGCAATAATTTTGCATCTAGGGCTGAGATTTAGCTTGAAAGCAGAAGGTTGCTTAGGAATCAAATTGGTATTTGAGTTGCATTGAGCTCAAACCAAGCCAAATGAGCAGAGTTGTAAGCTAAAGTTTTAGTTTTTTCCAATTTAGAGTCAAGACCAGCCCATATTGAGCTAGTTTTTGATCAGTTATATATATATATATATAAATTAAAATAAAATATAAGAAGCAATCAAGTAATATGATGTTTTAAATTAACTTGAATTTGAACCAAGCTGTATCTATTGAGCTAGTTCAAGTCAAGTGAGCTTGAAGTTGAATTAATTCAATGAATGCAAAATTAACAGTTGGAGATTTTGATTTTACTTTAATTGACTTTGTTGCGTGCTAGAATATACGCGGCATGTAAGAGTTAAGAAAAAATTCGTCTTAACAGCGTTGCACAGTAATTCAACACACAACAGAAAAGAGAAAATGAACACCCAGAGTTTTTAACGTGAAAACTCAAAAGGGAAAAAACCACAGGGCCTTGTTCCAACTAGTGTTTGTATGTAGTACAAAGGTTGATCCGTCTTATTACAAAATCAGACGATCAGTTTACAATCAACCTTCTCACAAAGTTACAAAGTTCTGCAAATTCCGGCATTTCCGAAATCCCGGGCAGATATTCCGGCGTCTTCCACGCGGCTGGGAAGAGCTCCGGCGGTGGTCGAGGGGAGCTTCTTCCTTCCCTCCTTCTTCTCTTCTTCTTCTCCTCTCTTCACTTGAGTCCCCTTTGGTGTAGAAATGAGGCTCTAATTTATAGTTTTTCTGGAGTGACATAGGTCGTAATAGGTATGGAGATCATGGGCGAATAGGGGAAGTGGTTGAATGGATCATAACGGCCGATATTGAACCTTCGATCGTGCGCCGTTCTTTGACATTTTGGAGGCCTTTAATGAATGTTCGGAAATTCGGCGATCTTGGGTCGTTGGATTCGCCTTGTCGAGCCGTTCATTCAGTATTAGCTCGTTAAAAATCGGACACCGTTTGGTAACTCAAATTGCGGTTTGAACCTTCGCAAACCAACGCTTCGGGTCCTTGATTCAGACTCATTTGAACTCGGATTGGAGTTGAATTTGGTGTCGTTGGGTTCGTATTTCCGAGACGCACTCAGTTTGACTGTAAGCTCGCTGAAAAATTGGGAGTTTGGGCGCTCCCAAATTATTTTTGAAGTTTTCAATTAGCTTTTGGCCTTCAAGATTTCGTGCCCGAATCAAGTTAATTTTGTGATGCCGTAATCCAGTTGCCCCCCTATTTTGGACGTCGTAGCTTCAGGAGTCCGAAAATAAGCGTTACAATTTTTTAGAAGAGTTTTTTTCAGCGAGTCAGAATTAATCTTGTGTAGCAAGGATGCTCCGAACGAATCTGAAAAAGTGTTGAAAATTGAGTCAGGGGCGTCGAAAAAACGATCCCTGGGGACCTCCAAAAACGGGCGAAAATTTGAACTTGTCGGGGTAAAAAATGGCCCATAAATAGACCCGGGCGGCCGAACCGGCCGGAACCGGCCGCCGCCGCCGGTGGCCGCTGCCACCGTCTGGCGCGGAAATGCGGCCGCGCCCTGCAGTCCGCGCGTTCGGCCGGACCGCGCCTGCGTGTTGTGCCGCGCATGGGCCAGGCTGGAACTTGCCTGCATGGCTGGGTGGACTGCACCCGCTTAGGCTGGGTGGACCTCGCCAACGCGTGGCTGGTTGGACAGCTCTTGCGTGCTTGTGCCCGCGCGGAAATGTCGCAGCTGTCGCCGGCGGTGGCCGGCTGCTGGCCTCGTTCGGCCAGCCGCGATCCGCTCATCATGCCCGCGGATTGATGCGCTGGTCGCGTCGTTTCATGTGGCCGGTTGGCTGCACCGACTTAAGTGGACCCCACTCGTGTAAAAATGTCGTTTTTTGCTATTGTTGGGCTAAAAAAAAATTCTGAAAAATTTGGAAAAATTTTAGAAAAATTAGGGAAATTCGAAAATTGCAATAACTTTCCCCTTCTTTCTCCAAAACCAATAAATAGGCCCCCTAGGCTTTTAGAAAACTTGCACCTTCTCCTTCTTCTCCCTCTGGCTCTCTGACAGTTGAGACTTCCGCTATTTGCGAGTGAAAAATTTACCTGCTTGAATTAGCGCCCCTCTTCTTGTGCAGGAGTTACAAGATTTTTCTTCTCCTCCCCCCGGCTTTCTGACGGTTGAGGCTTCCGCTATTTGCGAGTGGGAAATTTTTCCTGCTCGACTTAGCGCCCCTCCTTTTGTGCAGGAGTTACGGGATTTTTCTTCTCCTCCCACCGGCTTTCTGACGGTTGAGGTTTCCGCTATTTGTGAGTGGGAAATTTCCGCTGTTCGAATTAGCACCCCTCCTCTCGTGCAGGAGTTACGGGATTTTTCTTCTCCTCCCCCCCCGGCTTTCTGACGGTTGAGGCTTCCGCTATTTGCGAGTGGGAAATTTTCCATGCTCGACTTAGCGCCCCTCCTCTCTTGCAGGAGTTTTGGGGATTTTTCTTCTGCCCCTCTGTTTTTCGAGAGATCTGTTGAACTGCAGAAATCCGGCATCGGGTAGAAATACGGCATCGGGCAGAAGACCGACGAAAATCCATTAACGGACAGAAGTCTGACGACGGGTAGAAGTATGGCGTCGGGCAGAAGACCGACGAAATTCCGTCGACGGTCAGAATTCCGACGACTAGTAGAAGTACGGCGTCGGGCAGAAGTCCGACGAAATTTCGTCAACGGTCAGAATTCCGACGACAAGTAGAAGTACGATAGAAGTCCAACGTTGTATAGAAGTACAACGTTGAATAGAAGACCGACGAATGTTCATCGACGAGCAGAAGTCCGACGACGAGTACGAGTCCGCTGACGAGCAGGAGTCCGCTGACGAGCAGAAGTCCGACGATAGGGAGAAGTCCGACGTCGGTTAAAAGTTCAACATCGGGTAGAAGACCGACGAAAGTTCGTCGACGAGCAAAAGTTCGACGACGAGTAGAAGTTAACTGACGAGCAGAAGTCCGATGACAGGGAGAAGTCCGACGTCGGATAGAAGTTCAACGTCGGGTAGAAGACCGACGAAAGTTCGTCGACGAATAGAAGTCTGAAAATATTTGATCCGAAATTTTAGACTGATTGAATTCTTTGTATAAGTGATAGATTTATCAATCACTGCGTTCTTGGAGTCTTTATAGAGAGAACATTGTTCGGTGATGTTGACCTTTGTAAAAAGGGCTCGAGAGAATCCACCAAGGATGTGAGACCTTTTCGAGGTTGTATGTCGTAGCATTTGCTCGACGATGTTAACCTGTGTGGAAGAGGTTGAGAAAATCCACCAAGGATGTGAGACCTATCCGAGGTTGTATGTCGAAGCCTTTGCTCGACGACGTCAACCTGTGTGGAAGAGGTCGAGAGAATCCACCAAGGATGTGAGACCTTTCCGAAGTTGTATGTCGGAGTCTTTGCTCGACGACGTTAACCTATGTGGAAGTGGTCGAGAGAATCCACCAAGGATGTGAGACCTTTCCGAGGTTGTATGTCGGAGTCTTTGGTCGACGACGTTAACCTGTTTGGAAGAGGTCGGAAGAATCCACCAAGGATGTAAGACCTATCCGAGATTGTATGTCAGAGCCCTGCTTGATGACGTTAACCTGTGTGGATGAGGTCAGATCAAATCCCCCTGGGATTTATCATCTGGTG